TTTCTTTTTTAGATAAACAGTCTCATTTTAAATCTTGAAGTTAAGCTTTTGTAGTTTTGAGTTGAGGTAATCCAATTGAAAAGATGTTCAGGTTGCTGACCTGACTACACGGGAAACTGTTGATTTCAAATGGTATCAGCCTTACTTTTAGGGGAAATGCAAATATTTTCCCTCTTTTTTTATGGGCTTTAGCCTACTACACAGACGTTATAAGGTTCGTCAGGTCACGCAAGCATTCCTCACCACTAACAGCAGACATCGGTGGGAAGGAACAACTGCTTGACGTGCGAGCCTAACAACGTCTGCGTTGGTTGGTTGTTTTGCTCAGAGGTTCGTTTGAATTTTACTACAATCCATGCTTGAAACTGGACAAAGACCCGACCCCCTCCCCTTCCGGCCCTTTGTCACCCTCTTCTCGGATGATGACAATAACTTCTCCCTATACGAAGGTTTCGATTTCTTCATCGTCTTGTCTCAGTGACGAGTCATATTTGGTTAGACCATTTCTTTCTGAATTATGATTTAACTCGGGCGTTTTTAGTCCAAAGGTGAAGCTAAATATACTATCCTTCCCAAAAGTTCCTTTGTGGATCAACGCAGTGTAAGCTTGTCTCTTGAGCTTAGCTACAAGAAGCAGTTCTTTTTTGTGGCGTTGTCTCAAGTGCTGTATACGGCGCGAGCAGTTGATTTTGAATATGGCGACTATTCTGGACAAGTCAGCTTTCATTTCTTCCTTATGTCTAGACAACTCCACTCTTCTCGGAAGAGAATGACCCTCTGCACCTACAAGGAAGTAAATCAGTTTAACTCAGGTAAATTCTTCGAACAGGAAAATGATTCGAAAGAACTTTCAGAAGTAGTCTGTGGCTTTTGCCTTTGGATTTTGAGAGCTGTTAAACGTACGTGGATATCATGGACATGCTAGGAAAAACTAAGAAACTGGAGATGATAAAGTGAACTGCGGGGGAATTGTTTTAAGTAATTCATTGAGCATTCATGAGTGAAAAACAGCGCTAACCCTAAGCATCGCATGATTAGGATTACGTCAGGTAGGACTTCATGTTTTTTTCTAGATGACTACGGGAAGCCCCAATTTTTATTTCAAAGTAAAGTGTGCTATAAGGTGAACATAGAGTTTGTAAACCTTGGCAAAGCCTAATTTAGATTATATTTCAGGTGATAAACTGACATCAAATAATGATCATTTTTTTGATCAATGCTGAACATACCTTTTCTTCTGAACTTTACCCATCCCATCTTCTTGGCAAACTCAAACTTAGCACCTACTAGCAACATCACGCCAAGGATAACACCACAGACGATCAGCGCACGCACGTACGTGGGAAACCGCGGGTCAAACAGACTACTGGAGCGCTCAACAGACATGCTTTTTGGCGTTATCTAAGGAAGAAATGAGCAAATGTGTGGTAAGTGTATATACTCACCAGCTTTGTGGTGGACTGGCATCCCTTTCAGGAGGGAGGGGGGTACCTACACCTATTTACTTCATGCATCTGAGAACAGGACAAGGTCCAGCTCAATACATCTTCTGGCTTCTGGGTAATGACATTCACATTACACTGTTCGGCCGGATCCAGGAGTTTTTGATATTTTTGATATAGGGACGATGGATGGGGGGTGGGGAAGGG